GCCTCAATCATTTTCACGCTTCACAAATCCAATTAATTCATTTCGAAGTAGACTCACGGCAAATTCTAATTGAACAAGTTTCAAACCAACATCTCACAAGAAACAAATATGGCTCAAGCCACACAAGGAAGATAACGTCATCCAAAATAACAAATCAAGATCGTCAAGGTATGCCACTCGTTCTCATAATCACAACTTTTTAACTCAATCAATCAATCTTCAACTATTCTTGTCATACACCAAAGTCCAAACTCAGAAAGACACAACAAATAGAATCCTAAAAACTAGACCGGATCACCAAGCAAGAGAAAAGAAATAAAAGACAACCTAATGCAAGAACTAGACCTGGTCCACCACATAGTCACGTAAGCACGTAAAACTCCCCCACACTTAAAATCGAACAATGTCCCCATTGTCAATTCTCGGTGAAGGAGAGTAAACCATATAATGAAACACGACTCGAAATAAAAGAAGCTATACAAAAATAAAAGAGAAAGGAAAAGAGAAACATACAAAGCACAGTGACAAGTCACTGTGCGCTCGGCGGTGGCGGAGGTGGGTGTTGGTATCGCTGCGCCTCCCAAGTATCCCAACGGGTGTCATGGGCTGTCCAGTGCGCCTCGTTGGTCTGCTTGAAGTCGTTCCACTCCTTTGTCTGTTGGGCCCAACGCTCGTCATTAGCCTCCAGGAATGACTGCCAACGAGCATCATTATGCTCTATATACGAGTCAAGGCGCACATTGTGCGACTCGACTGCGGAGTGGATGGCTCGGTATTGCTCGTCATTCCGGGTCTGATGCTCATCATACCGAGCCTGGAACGTGGAGAACCAGGAGGGAGCCTGCTGGGAGAAAGTGCTCGGGTGGTCGTCCATCGGGAGGTGCGGCTGATACTCGCCGAGATCGTGGTGGTCCTCGGCCTCTGGAACGTGATCCGTCGGCTCCGCTTGCTCTCCTGCTACCGGTTGAGAAGGACCCCCCATGGCTTGCTTCGAAGAACCCTCTCCTCGTGTCATTCTCTTCAACTTCTCCTCCCGTAAGTACGTCTCATAGCATTTACGCTCAGAAAAGTGGGTGACCTTGAGCCCTTTGTTCAGAAAGCCTCCGTGGCGAAGCTCCTCGTACCCTATGACAGCAGCACCGATTCCTTCCTCCGTAGATGCGGGGATTTTGAAATAGTCAGCGAGTTCGGTAACCAGATGAGCCAATGTAGGGTGGCTCTTGGACCTATTACGCGTGTCGACAAGGGCTTGCT